ATAATGTTCTCCAGTACAGCATTAGATAGACAATGTTCCCCTGCTATTCATAAGGTTTTCACTGATCAATTATTTGAGAAGTGGATGACCTCTTCCTTCTTCCAAGTCTGTCTCAGTCTGGAAATTCCACTTAAACTTGTCCACCATGGGCAACCCTGCTGGTGTTTGAAACACTGATGGCACAGCCTCCAGCCTCATAGCAACACACAAGCACACACAGTATGAAAACTGTCAGCACAAACTGGCAGACAAGTTAATCTCCCTTAGTTTCCTGACCGGAGGCTTTTCCTCTTACCTGTTCTTGCCATCAGCCCTGGCTGCTGCTTCCTGCCTGGGGGCTCGCCCTCTTACCTTTACCAGCTATTGACCCTGGCTCCACTTTTACTATCATTTAGTATTCTTAAATAAAATTTAGAGATCAGACTGATATTTATCTCCATATATGTATATGTGATGTCTTAGGCTTGGATCTTTAGAGAAGAAAAAAACAATGAAGGTGTTTATATATATATATATATAGAGAGAGAGAGAGAGAGAGAGAGAGAGAGAGAGAGAGAGAGAGACTGGAAAGTTACAAACCCATGGGTCAAACATCAAGCTGGTGGCTTCTACAGACTCACATAGCTGTAGGGGCTGAAGATCTCATTCTACAGACTCACATAGCTGTAGGGGCTGAAGATCTCAATACTGCCAAGCAATATGGCAGGCTCTATCTTCTGAGGCTCAGTATCCAGGATTGTCAGGTAGAATGGCAGACTGTTGGTTTACACATTGCAAAGGCAACAATCCCAAGATTTGAAGGAAATAAAAGAGACCACAGTTTCAAGTCCAGGAACCCGAGATCATGATGAGCCAGATGCAGGATCCAGATTCATCAAAAAGCCAGGGAATTTTCCCAGGACACACGCATACACACACACACACACACACACAAACATGAAGCAGGCCACACCCCTGAAGAAACTCCATTTTGAGTGATTGGTTAATAACAGCACATCTCATCATGGAGGTGATTACATTATATTAGATCTCATCATGGGAAATGACTACACTGCCTACATCATAACTGCTAAACAACTGAGAATCATGGCCCAGACAAGTTGGTACACAACATTAAATATTATAGGTGACTTGTTTTACCCAGATTTCCAAGATTTCTCAATCCATGTTTATAGTACCATATTTTCAAGGATCTATCTAGTTATCACTGAGATTTGTTTTATGGCAGAGGATATAGTCTCCCATGGTCAGTGTTCATGGACCCTTATATATAATATGTATTCTCTTACAGTTGGGTGAGTTGTTTTATCTGTGTCTGTTTATAAGCCTTAATATATGTATATACATATATTTTTTTTTCAGTCAGAGCTGATTTTTCCTGTTTTGAATCTTTCAGTAAGAAAAGACAGAATTCATTTGCACAAGGTTACCCAGGACACATTGCACACTGAGCCTGTGTCTAAAATATCAATGAAAACATCCCTGTTATTCCACTCTGACCCTTAATTTACTGTTTGTGCTTATTAAGACTGACACAGGATGTAGATGGTGATGAGGCTGCAGGTGAAAAGTGACAATGACCACAACTACACAGAAATGGCAGGAACTAACCAACCCTAAAAGAAATACATGCTTTAAAGATGGAAAGGTGTGGAATAAATTATTTAAAAAGTATGAAAAATTGAACTGGATATTGGGAGAACAAAAATTCAAACATTGAATGGGTGAACAGAGAAAGAGGAAACAAGGAACATATCTGTCAATTCAGTGAAACAGCCAGTAGTCTAACAAGCAACTTTTCTTGCAATCATTGCTCCCTTGAAGTCTTCATAAGCTTTTACAATGACACACTTTGATAACGGGTGTTGGAAAAGGAAACACATACTGAGCCCTCAGCTTCACAAAGAAAAAAAATATAACCCATTATTCTCTTCCATCCCCAGATGGCATCTTCAACGAAGCCCCCATTATCTTCTGTCCCTATGATAAGAATTACACTATTTGCAGATATCCACTGCTTTTCCACATTTTTTTTTTTTTTTAAGTTTAGGTGAACGTTAACACAGTGAACTAGATTCTTATTTAAAAATTTTTATACAAATTGTTCCATGAAATCATTTACGTTTTTCACAGTGAGTCAACATTTTCATTTTTTCACTGTTTGTTCTCTTTCCATTGATTTAGCTTCCCTTCCCCCCCTTGCCTTCTCAACTTGGGTTTGAGTAAATAGTTAAACATTTGGTCTCACATAGTTGATTATTTAAGGGACATATTACTTATGGCATGATTGTTTATTTTAGAAGCAATCTATTATTTTACTGAAGGGTATTTGGCTTTATTTATAATTATTATTTGACTGAAGCTACTCCAGGAGTAACCTCAGTACCAAGTTCATAAGGTATCTTAGGATGATAATCTCAAGGTTCCTCTACCCACTATTGGTCTAGTGAGTCTGAACTATTTTAGTAATTTCAGTTTCATTATACATATTTCTCCCATTCTATCTGAGAATTTCTATTGTGCCCCTGATCACAACGGTCTGCTAGTCTCATTTTAGAAGAGGCTGTGGTTCGTGTGGGGTATTAATCCTGTGGACTAATTTCTTCTTTGAGTCTTTGGTTTCCTCATTCTATTTTACTCCACACAAGTAGAGTCCAATCGTTGTATATTAGATGGCTATCCTTTCCCACTTTTGGTGATATGTGGGAGGATCTCAGATCTCTACCATTTAAATTAAAGATGGTTATCTGACTTGCTTTGACCCATGACACATGGAAGAATGTACAATGTGTAATTCCAGTGTGAATCCTTTAGTTATCAACAATTAGTTCTCCAATCCTGATTTCTCCTGTCATGTGGGAATGGAGATGGCCTTAGGACAAAGCGACTTGATGACATACAAACAAGTAGAAGACAGCAACCTCAGAGTACCCACACTGAACTTTATTTGTGCAAGAACTAAACCTGACTTGTGTGTTAAGGCACTTATTATCTTCTGTAATTATGATATATTCTTACTAATCTTGATTAATACATACATTCAAATATTACCACTGTATCATCTGAAGAATATTATTTTTGCTTCCAAGAATAAAAGGAACTCTGGTAGCACAGTGCTTAAGGCATCTGACTGCTAACCAGATGATTGGTGGTTCAAACCCACCAGCCACTCCGTGGAAGGAAGGAAGACTGGAAAATCTCCTTCTGTAAAGATTTACCATCTCAGAAAACCAGTGGGGGTCATTATGAATTGGAATCAACTCAATGGCAGTGGGTTTTAGGCCAACAATAAGACACTTTGTTTCCATTCATTTCACCATCAATGTTACTCTGAGACCTCTGCTTTAAGCCACTCTTGGCAATGATATATATCTGACAACCAACCCAAAGACAAAGACTCAGTGATGAATCAGAGAATGAGTATCTCTTACAATTTCTTATAAGTATGTGTTGTCTTTGGGATTTCTCACAGAACAAGTTCCTAAAAAAGTGCAGTAAACTTTAATGGAAATTCCAAAATGAATTTTGTTTTTGAAATGTTGTGCTGAATTGCTGGATGTACTCTTAATATCTGAGTTACATATGAAAACTCCTGCCTTTGATGTAAGTGGAGTTGTGTTTCTACTATATAATAACAAAGGGAATACAGAATATGTGTAGAACCTATGAGGTACTTAACTTTTTATACTTACTTTGTTTAAATTTAAGGTAAACAAAATAAGTAGAAAAGTAGTTTTGATTATGTTGTAGAATATTTGTTATCATCTGGATATTAAATTAAAATTAGATTGTAAATATGACTCTTTCTCAAGGAAGAAAGTGTCTCTGCCTCTTCTGGATTCAAATACAGCAGAAGCAGCTCATAGTTGTGGTGGTTTTATCTTTGGAATATACCAAATAAAGAATACAGCACACACACACATGTACACACAGAAAATGCAAATAAAATCCTTTGTACCCAAGGTCTCATTGTCATACTCAAATAAGAAAGGGAAGACTTGTATTTGTAAGAAACTCCTAGGAAAATTTCCATCCCTTCATGCTTGTATAAGAGAACATATAATAAATAGTTCCTTATTTTTTTAAAAAAAAATTTTGAAATTCAAGAAAAAACAATATAATTTAACTGTTTGCTACTTCTTGAATGTTAAGCTCCTAGTACTTATGTTGCTTAAGGAAAAATTTACATTTCTCATAAGTTAATTAGGTAACTAGTTTTACTCCTGAGCCAAATATATTCTTGAGAACATATTATATGCCAAAAATATTAAGGTGTAAAATGATAGGGAGAGAAAAAGTCATCAATTATCTTATTTGAACTAAACCTACCCAGTTTTAGCCATGTTTTACAGAGAGTTTCTCTTTGTACTCAAGAGTGTGGGTGGAAATCATGATTTTTGAGTGTGTTTCTGGTTCAAATGATTATCTACTTTTTTCATTGCTTGATTCACTTCTTCAGTAATCTTCACAGAGCCTCTTTTACTTCTTTGTTTCTTAGGGTATAGATTAGAGGGTTCAACAATGGTGTGACCACAGTGTAGAAGAAAGTGAAGAATCTGCCATATTCAGAAGCAAAGTTGTTTTTAGGATCAGTGTAAACTATTGCCACTGTCCCATACAACATGAAGACTACCACAAGATGAGAAGAACAGGTGGTAACGGTTTTCTGCCTCCCCTCTTCTGACTTGATTTCCCTTATGGCTTGAGCTATATAGCCATAAGAAGTTAAGATCAACCCCACGGGCATGATGGTGAAGAGAACAGCAGAGATGGTCATCTGCAACTCATTAAAGGAAGTGTCCCCACATGCCAGATGTATGAGAGCAGGCACCTCACAGAGAAAGTCATTCACATGATGGTGGGTACAGAAGGACAGCTGGAGTGTAATAGGAGATTGGATCAGAGATTCCATCAGGCCAGAGAGCCAGGCCATAAGGGCACGTTTCCAACAGAGTGGATGGTTCATGATGATGGTATAGCGCAGTGGCTGGCAGACAGCAACATAGCGGTCAAATGCCATCACCACCAGCAAGACACCTTCTGTGGCACCAAGACAGAGGAAAACACAGAGTTGGATGACACAGATTGTGTAAGTTATGGTCTTCTCTTGTCCCCACATGTTTGACAACATTTGGGGCACTGTGGTTGTGGTAAAACAGAGCTCCAAGAAGGAGAGATTGCTAAGAAAGAAATACATGGGACTGTTGAGACGAGGGTCTGTACAAGAAAGCACAATGATTGTCAAATTGCCAAAGATGATCATGATGTAGAAGATGGCTACAGTCCAGAAGAGAAACTTTTCCAGCTGGGGCCAATCAGAGAAGCCTAGAAGGACAAAGCCCACTGAGGTACTTGTGTTGGTCGTTCCTGCTGCATTTGAAATTGGAATTAAGACATAATTGTGAGCATAAATTTTTAAACTGAATTTGGAGAAAGGTTCTACTGCTCTTTATTCAGGTAAGGCAATCATTATTAATTGTCAGAGAATTCTTAGGGCATAAAACACATTGCTGTTTTCCCTTATATTAAGCCAATACAACAAATCTTTCTTTTATATATCTGTTAAAGGAAGGTACTCTCCTTGGAATTTATCTTGAAAATCTGTAATCACAATATCTGCAGTGGGTACCCTCACAACTATCTTAACAGCATTGATATGTTCCTTGATGGCAGTTCTTTCAGATCTGTATGTAGGGGCCACTATAATATAATCGAAATGATATGTTGAACACACAGCTTTATCTTTCAAATATATAATCATCCAATAAAATAAGGAATTATTCTGTATTGTTTAGTAATGTTAATAGT